TGCCAGAGAGAATTTCTGGAGCTGTGGGATCCAGGGGCATTCACCTGCAAAGTCCTACATGGCATCATGGGACACATTAATCTCTTGCATTATGTCACAGTCCAATCAGGGGCAAATTAGTACATACATATCTTGAAGCATTGTATCATTTTGATTAACTGAAAGTCATATGTGTCCATAAATTGAAAAGAAATGGTTCGTACATAGTTAACTTGCAAGGGTCACAACTTTTAATTAAAATTATTATAAATGCTGGGCAATGGCCATATCAATAAAACTCATTATATACAAACAGCTAAATGTGAAGGCAATAAAGTTAATGGAAAATCAAACAATCACATTTTCTATCAAGTGTTACATAGGAGAAAAGAGACAGAGGTAAAAATAGTGGTGTCAACAGTCACTTACAAAGCAGCAGTACTTCCAGAAGCATTTTTTTTTTTAATCCTCATAAACTACTGATGTTGCTTATTTGGGGGTAAAGGTTGAAACAAATGTACAGCCAACCTTTCATAATAATGTTTATTTGGTGTTAAGGCTGACTCTAGAATTCAAACAGAATTCCACATTTAGACAGACTTGTTATTTTGTTAGTTCCAATGCATACTTTGTCTGACTGAAATGCATACAGTGACACTTTCTGAAAGTGTTTAAGTGCATTGCAAACCTAAATTCCTGTGGTGGAAAATTTAGCAGCTTGAAAAGATCCCTAAGTCTTTTCATATTCAACCTCATGCTCGCAAAGCCCATGTTCTACTGGGGCCAAATGCACCGAGCCAGCATGTGGAGGCTGAGGATGAGCAGAGGAAGCAGGGCCTTCCTCTTCACTTCAGCAAGTTTTTCTCCAGAACTCCGACAGGTTCTGCAAAACAAGGGTTTGAAGCTGGAGCATGGTGACAGCCCTCCTGCTCCTTTTCTTTTTCTCCTCTGGCTCATTCTTTACTTATCCTCAGTGTTTTATTAAATGATGCCTTCTTGCTGACAGTCCAGCTTCCAGGGCAGTTCTGTAACTGCAGAACTTTTTACGGGCTCTTTTTGGATGTCCCTAACTGAGCAGCCAAAGCAGAAAGGGCACAAATACTGGTTTGTCTGGTGCTTTTTACAAGTTGGTATGCGTTGGACGGAGCGGTGCGAGGAAGCACGGGGTGCGTCTACGTGTGCGGTTAGGCCACCCGTTTCTGGATCTGTCCTTTCAGCCACGTTCCCAAGCACTACATTTGCACTCCTTATGTCCCTCCCTACGTGCACATGCATCCTAAATACCCTGCACAACCCTAGCGTTTTTAAATTTATATAATAGGCTCGTATTGACAATTTTTCTCTCCTATGGACGTTGCAACCACATTTACCAGAAATTTGTATTGGCGTGATTTTGGCATAATCATGATAGCACAATGTTACCACAGCAGCACAAAGTTCTAACGGCACAACCAGGAACTGCAGAGAAATCGCTATTCCATGTTATACAGGAACTTTTAAAATCCAGGACTGGGATTTAGTCTTGAAATGTTGATGCTATATTCCCTCTTCGTTGCACTGGAAATTACCTTCTGTTAGTTCTGTTGGCTTATTCTAACTTTTTGCCATAACCTCTATAATGTTTTATGTTCTCCGCAGTTTTCATTCTTATTGCCGTGAGCTAGTTGTTAGGATGCTACTGGGTGAGAAATTAGGATTAAACCCAATGCAGTCTAAAGCTAATGAGATTCTAAACACTAAGAACATGACAATTTTTCTGTTAATAATGAAAAAAAATTCAGATCACCTTTTTATTTTGTGTTCTATTTAGATGACTCAGAGTTTTGTATTAAAAATCTTCCAAACTGTTGGCTCTGATTTTTACCTAGAGTAGTATCACTGAAATTTCAGTTCTTTGAAATAATGTCATGTAAAATCTAACTGAATAACATAGTTCAGTCATTTTTTACTCTGATAGTCCTGGCTAACTTGCAATATCATGATCATAAGAGATTTCTTAAAATGTGTATATATTTGAAATTTATGTAATATTTAAATACAACTTGGTTTCTAAGTAAGGAATAAGAATAAAATTTCAACTATTTTTTCTATTCATAAATCCACACTTTGTAAGTAGTATTTAAAATAAGATTACCACAGAGTGTTTCAGAGAAATTGACTTTTATGCACTACAAGCTAGAAATTCCTCTGGCATGTCAGCTTTAGGTTTCTTTTGTGTTTTAAGATTACTTTTACAAGCCGATATGTACCCCCAAACTAAAGAAATTCACTGAGGAAAAAGTTGTTGATCTGATTAACTATTGTAAGACACTTTTGGCATAAATTTGTCTTTGAGATGCTGTTTACTTTATCAAGGTTTACATGTACAAATGCAACTACTTACTGTATCATACACATTTGAATATTGCATTTTTTTCAGTAATAAACTTGGATATCTTTGAAAGAGGCTTTGAGCTTCGTTATTCCAAATATTCAAAGTTAATTAACAAAAAAATTTGTACGCTTGGAAAGTGAGTGCTCATAAGCCTTCAAACCATAGTATTGTAAGGAAGTAATTTAAGGGTTAAACGTGGCTCAGACACTTTTAACAATTAAATACTCACTCACTGCGGTCTCAAGGCACATCTAGACTCACTTTTCAAATTTTCAATCATTTACGGTCTATTGCTTTCACTAGTGAGTAACAATTTCTGAAATTTAAGGTCTTGTTTTAGAATTTACATGTTCCTAGTTTCTTAATCTCATTTTTTTTTCAAATTAAGTGCACAAGCTAGCTCTTTTGTAGAAGGATCAATGGCTCAGGATGTAAATGAAACAGGAAGATGAGATATAACTGTAAATGACACTGTCCTCAAATTTAATCAGAACGGTAATTCTTCTGAATTCCAGGTTTGCTAGGCCACATCCTTAAATCTTGGTGGAAGACTGAATAATGAACTACTGATTAACCGTTTTAGCCGTCATACGTAAGTCCACGTGTTGGACTTAGTAAAACCTTGTGGAATGCCTGGCTCCTTTACAAATACAGAAAACACTTGGGCTCGATGAGCAGCTTTTGCTGAAACAAAACTGGTCCAGAAGTATGAAGTTAAAGAGAAATTCTTTAGGATATTTCTCTAAAGGCATTTTGAGAGAATGCAATTCTAGCCAAGCTAACTCATTTTTTTGGACACTGAATGGACAAATTCAGATTCTCTTTTGTGGCAAAGGACTTGGAAGGATACTATGTCTGTAGCAAATCCAATGTAAAGGTGTGGCTAAACTTGTGAAAAAATACTGAAAAGTGCAAACTATGCATCTTGCAGCATGCAGAGCATAAGAATACTGCAAAAGTAAGTGTCTCAAGAAATATTCAAAGCAGACTTGGTTGTTTTCACAGTTAGATGTCTCTGAATCAGATATCCTCCAGCTACCAGTAGAGAGGGGGATTTTGTCCAACATCTAACTGTGTAGCTTCACATTGATGTTTTGAACTACTTTCACTCTGGAATTATTTTACATCTTAAGCATGATAGATAGGCTCTCTTAATATAACCTAAGCAATAATGTGTGTGGCTATGCGATATAAATGATACAACAGTATTATTTACGGAGTTTCCGTCTCTGCCTTGATATCCATATCAAGTATGGAAGCGTGACCAGGAAGCATGCCACGTGGGACAACAGGCTGCCAGCCAGACTCAGCTGTATGCTTTTATGAGATTATATGAGCTTTATGAGATTATAAAAGTGGTGTAAAAGGGATTAACGCAAATATTGACTCAACTCTCAGTTTGTTGACCAACTGTCCTGTGCAAGCAAGGCAGTGTCTTTTACAGACTGCTATTTCTGTTCTCTGATTGAATATCCTGGGACCGTTCCCAGAGGTAGGGCATGAACACAGACGGGGGAAGTAACCTCAAGAACCAGGCTGACCTAAATCCACATCACAAAGATGGTCCTGATAAAGCAAAAGCAACAGCTGGGTTCTTCAGAGCAATACGAGCTAAATATCAGTTGGGTCCATAACCCACAACTGAGTCATCGTTGATATTTTCATTCAGTTGGTTTCATTCAGTTGTGACTTTTGTTTAAAAACAAATACATTCATCCAAAAAACTACATCCAGAAGATTATCAAGGTGAGACGTGGTCTATTGAGTTTGATTTACATCAGGCAAATTTTAGAGAAAATCTGTTTCACTGAAACAGAGCACTTAGTGGACTACGTACCTTCTTCCGAGACATTTTACCGGACAGATTATTTTGCCTAGCCGCGTACCTTTTTCCAAAATTCAGCGTGGATTATCAATTAGGAGGCATCATCATCAAATGTTGTTTTATTTTCTTTATTGCATAAAGGTAGTAGGCGGATCTTTTTGAGCTGAAAGGATGTCTTTCCAAGACTAACACGGATAAAGAGCTATCCTGAATTCAAAGTAAAATTTGTTACTCTCCTATAGCTTTTACAATAAGACATTATAAAGAAATCTTAGTTCTGCAGAGGAAGCAAGCACAATTGACTCAGTCACTAAAAGACCAGTCCGGTCTATACAACATTCCTGTGAGGAGGCTTTTTGCGATACCAAAGAATGGGCAGAGACTAGCTCAGCCTGACCTCCCCGCTCTCCCTGGGGATTCCTCTATCAGAGGGCAGTTCACAGTCTCAACTGAGTGAGAGACCTCAGAAACCTCTCCGAAGTCTTGATTTATCTCAAGTTCACCCTGGCACGTTTCCCTTCAATGACTAGTTACCGAACAGAGTACGTGATAGAGACGTGTTGTGGCTACTTCCGAGCAGGAGCTTCCACAACAAGATTCATGAAACATTTCTTCTGAAAAAGCAGTGCTTCCAAAACCCCCTTCTCCAATGATTTCCCAGGTCTGTCCTGAAATTCATAAATAAAAATCTGGCCTTTATTGCTATAGAGAGCAATCGTTCCCTTTTGGTCATCTACAAGCTGGTAAATGTGATAAAGAGAGCTCTTTGTTTCTGAAGCTGGAGAAATAAAGTTTGATTAAATGTCCCTTGTCCCTCAGCTTCTAGAGACGAGTTTCTCTGCTCATATTAGTATAGGAATTTTCCTCAGGATTGTAATCAGGGAACTGGCGTTTGTTTTCTTTGTTGATATTATTCTTGAAGGTGTCATCTGTTCCAGTTTCGTTTGCAATAACTTTATGCAGGTTTTTTTCAAAGTCCACCTGAAAAAAGAAAGAAAATACCCTAGTAGTTTGAAGACTGCTTTTTTCCTTGGCTTAAAGGGCATGTTATTGCATTTTGAAATTTTGACATCCTTTCTTACAAATGTGAGGAGTTACTTCACTACATGAAATGACTCTCAGACCCACAAACAGCCACAGTTCAGTGTGCATCTCCTCCATACACAACCACTGATTTTCTCATTCCCCCGTGGAAAATCTTCGGCAAAAGCAACAAAAACAACTTTTCAAACTCCTTTGTCCATGTAAAAATCTTGAAATGTGCCCTCGGTGCATTCCCAATCACTTCAATTTAGTTTTTCATTTGCATATTTATCTACATTTTAGCAGAGTGGTTTTTTGTCTGGCCTGCAGCTTGCCTCAGTGGTTTCACACTGCAACTACTTGATTGATGTTGTCGTTCTACATTTTAAGCAAATACAAGGAGATAAATGCATATGTGGGGGGCTTTTTTTACTGCTTTTATAAAGATGATTTTTTTTTTCTCCAGAAAAGTTCTAGACAGAGTCTGTGTTGAGCACCTAAAAGCCAACTGAAGCAGCTGAAGCAAATCTAGAGCCACAGCTGCTCTCCAAATTAGATTGTTAACTTCAATGTCAAATTTGATGCAAGCTGCGTGGAAGGATAGTTTCTACGTTATTGCCAAATACTGTGAGCCTTGCAGCTGAAAGATTACTTTCAAGGTTTAAAGGTAACTATAGAGTACTCTGAAGGAGCTGAAAACGTACCTATTGCTTTATGTCCCTTTTATAAACCTAGCAGATTCCGCTAAGATGCGGCAATGTTGTTTCCCTGCAAACTGTTAACAACAATGCAAGAAAATGAGGTGCTCGTTCTTTATGGCTTGTTAACGAGCTACGAAGCCCTGAGACACCTGGGGAAAAGGCTGCTCCTCTTTCTGCCGAGGAGGCGGTGGGCAGGAGCAGCCCGGCTGCAGCTCTGCTTGATGGACCGGCTCTGAAGGTGAGGATGGCAGGAGAGCTTCGTGGATGCGTAAGTGCTAAAGTTTTTCTCTCTGTGGGAGGAGGCGGGAGCTCGGTGAACTCCTCTCTGGGGTGTAAAGTGCGGTTTTGTCCCTGCTCGGTTGCCAGAGCGGGGAGAGGGAGGTCAGTCCCCGTTTCACAGGCTGCTGGCCATCCCGAGGGCTGGTCGTCTCCGGAGCCCTCAAGTCCCCGTGTGCTGCGCAAACAGGGAAAATCGGTAACTTATTACTGACCAACACGGGTCGGGGTTTGGCTGATCTCGTTTCCAGTCTGCGGTGCCTACGTAGCATCCCTTGCACAGCTTTAAAGCACGATTGCCGAAAGCTCGTCTGCTCTCGGCGTGGTGGTTTGGGAACTCACCTCCAGGCTGTCGTGCCGCACGCCACACCAGAGGAAAACTTTGAGCCTTTCGGACCAAAAGCAAAACAGGTTGCAGACTGGCTTAATTAACACTGGTGGGATGTCTTCTCCTTTACTAGGGCCTGAAAGGAGAACATAATGGTATGTAAGTCTATGGAAAGGTAGGCGTGAGCTTTGGGACCCTCACCCGTGAGGCGGGGGGAGCGGGATCAGAGCATCCCGCTCTCCCTGAGTCTGTGTCTTACAAGCTGCTTGCAGGAACTCTTTAAAACTCTCTTAACAGCTGAGTCAGGTTCTTGTGCAAAAGCATTTATTTTTTTATTTATATGTATATGTATAAATATATATGTGGAACACCAACCTGTTATAAAGCTTATCAACAGCCCTGCGATGGCACAGACTAGGCAGCCGATGGCACTGAAGTACAGGTAGGACAGGGAGTACCAGGTATCTGCCAGCAAAGGCCTGCGAAGAGGTGACAAAAGCAGTTAGTGATGACCGACGGGTACGTTTAAGCTGTCTCAAACCGCGCCAGCAGAACGCAGCTCACTGCAGTCGGTGTACGATCCAGCAGCGGTCCGTGCTCCCAGCCCCCTTGGCGGTCACCGGCCGCAGGCTCGGGCTGCGCGCTGTGCCAAAAGGCAGGCTGAAGCGGTGGCGATAAGGAAAATAAATACCTGTCGGGAGCCGTCGCCGCCGTCGTCAGCGCCTCGGTGCTGTTAGCCAGCGTGCAGTTGAGAGTCGAGAGTTGCAGAGGAATGGACTTTGTCGGTGGGGCGGGGTAAATGAAAGAGCCGGTACCAGCCCAAAAAGCTAAGGTGATCCCAGTTAAGAGGCCTCCGATTGCACCCTTGGCAGGTATAGAGAGAGGCTGTTAAAGGTGATGGGTGGGAAGTGCTTCTCTGCGAACGTGAATTAGGCAGGCGTAGGTGATGACTGGTTACGGGGTCTATCGCTGTAAATCAACTCTGTTCTCTCTCAACCCAAGTATAAAACGGTGATTTATTGCCCTCTGGTAATAAACGTTGAAGCAAAACTGTGATGATCAAAACTGCAATACAGAGTTTAGTTCTACTTCTGGGTAAATGTGATGGGACCGCTCATGGGGCGATATGAAATGAGCTCGTGTTGTGTTTTGCCTAAGTTATCAGGGGCAGAGCAATTGAAATCATTCTGTGTGTCCCAAGGTGAATATAGGCTGGAGCGAGTACTGATTTTTTTTTTTTTTTCTTTTTAATGAAAGAGAAGAAACTCATAAATAAAAATAATTAAAAAAAAACCCTCATGTGGATCTAATCACCAATTATTCCACAATTGGGTAGAGTTAAATTCAAACGGGATAAATTTAGACAGTGAAAAGGGACCTCTAAGCAGATCTCGGACTCCTCAGGCTCTAAATCTGAAAAGCAGCCCAGAGACTAAACCTAAAAAACCCAAACAATTTTCAAGATGAAGTTTTAACCAAACACCACCAAGAGATTTTCTTTTAGGTCAGGATTTTTTTTTTTTTTTCTTACCTTCCAGTTAGCACAAGGGAACACAATTCCCAGGGTAAATAATCCCAGCATGGGGCCCCCACACATCCCATGGATGGAGAGGGAAGCCTGCGGATGCAGAGGAGAGACAGGAGCTTAGTGCAGCAGCTGGAGGGAGCGTGCGCAGTTCTGGTGTCAGTCTGTAATTTTAGTGGGAAATGGTGGGGGAGAAGGGACCAACAGTGATTTCAGTGCAAATTAGAGTGAATCACACTCAGTGTTGTTCCCAGCAGTGAGCAAATAGTGAAGGAGTTGGGAGATTTATGATTTTTTTTTTTTTTTTTTTCCTAGTTGCTCCTCTCAGCAGAGCATCCGCAGGAATTGTTCCGGTAATCTAGCAGTCCCCAGGGCTGTCAGCATTATTTGTTCAGTTCATCGCATTTCTGAAGCAAGAGATACCTGCACAACTCCTCCCAGCAGCGATGCTGCTGCAGCCATCGAAGTGCACAGGACGCCATATAATATACCTGGAAAAGATCAGGCAGCGAGGTTGTCGGTGCTCGTTAATAGTGTGGGCGATTTCGAGTTCGTTTAGTCTGAAGGGACCGGGCAGGATGGAGGAATTTTCACTCTGGGCTTTGATGCTTAAAGCAGACTGTTAAGCACCCAGCTCCAGCATCTCGCGTGAAGTCTTGTTGGGTTTTTGGTTGGTTGGTTTTTCTTATGAAGCGGAATGTAGCAATGAAATTAATTTAGAAGTTATGCCTCATGTAGAAATGTTTCCATTTCTGTTGCCTTTAAATAACACTTTTAAAATAAACTAATGAATGAATTGAGCAATGATAAACAGCACGGCTTTCTTCCTTTGACACCAGTTTGAACTTTGTGGTAGGCAAAACTCTGTATGTAGTAGTCTTAAGGAAAGCCAACCAAAACTCATCTTCTGTGGTAGCACACCTTGGTTTCAGAGGTAAAAATGATCTTTCTAGGTCCTGAGTGCAGGAATTGAGTAGTAAGTGGAAAAGCAGGAACAGAGAAGGTTGGAGACGGTTACAGAGAAAGTATTGGTTTGGCTCTTCTGCGATCTTTGCCAACGTCAACAAATGGTTATGATATTATTACAATACTTATAAAAGGGTTATGGTATTACTGCAATACTCGTAAAAAAATTCAAATCCCTTTGGACACATTTCATATTTTGTTGGTCTCTTTTTCATTTGTCTTTTTTACATTTTTTTTCTCTGAAAAACTGAACAACCTGCTTATGTGATACTCTAATTTTGAATAGAAGTGTCTTGTCATACTACTATAAAATAATAATATTTAGTAATACTATTATAGAGTAATGTGGTAATAACTACATTGATATTCTTTCTGTACTGTAAAGAAGATCCCAGAGCGTTCCCCAGTATTTTTAGTAGACAAAACTCCTCAAAGGAATTTGGGTAGTGCACCGTATAGGGCACATGCTTAATTTTACTGAAGCGTCGTGCTGACATTCATCCTGAGAGTTTTTTATAAAGGGTTGTGCTCCTGCGGAGGTTTCCAAAGCACAAGTGTGTTTCTGAAGTAGCGTCCTTAGACAGCGCTCTTCACTACTCACAGAACTGTTCTCCAAGTCAATTCAGAGTCTGAGATTCTCAAAGCTTCAAGTGTATAAAATCCTGCCCTGTTTTCTCCTGTAGTAATTGCAACTGGGGGGATGGACATCTTTGCCGTTAAACAAATGGATCCCACCTGGGGTACCTACATAAGCCTTTGCTGATCCATGTGCTTATCTTCTCAGAGAGGTTTGGGAAACATTTCTTGACCAAGTCTTCAAAGGTAACAGTTGCTAAAGCGTTGATGCTGGCAGCTACCGTGCTGTAGAAATGGAGAAAAATGTTAAATAAATAGGAAACAATGTAATCTGAAAGAAAGTTGTATTTATAGAGAAATGCTGCCTCTTGTTCAGCCCCAATACTATAAAATGTACAGTTCTTGAAGAGTATTCTTCACGTAACGGCTGATGCTGGTGAGGTTTCTGTTTCTTCTGTGATTGCTAGGGGCCCTGCTTCGCGCTGGCAGAGAACAAGATAGAAACTCGTCCTAATTGACCCCTCAGTTTACCAAGCTGCAAAGACCTTCAAAATATAGACATGTTCCAGAATAAAGATATTACTCCCCTACAAGTTAAAGGATGTGCAGTGACCACTAGGGATACCCTGTTCCTCCACAAAAATGCCTGTTCTGTTTTCTCTCATAACTGAAAAATACAGAATGGGAATAGTCTGACTCTTAGCTGGGTGAGTTAACCCATATTTGGTGGATACGATCCCTGTGAATTTGTTGTGACAATGTGGCAGTGTCAATACCTACAGCACAGTGTTTGGTACTCGGTGCCCTTAACTGTGGTTTTTTTAGTCTCCTGTCAGGAGCAGCCAGTGCCTTTTATGTTATGCGGGGGATTCTTTTTTTTTTTTTTTCCTGTTTTGATAGCACTTTCTTGCTTTTTCTACAGATAAGAGTCTTTAGAAAGAGCCTGTTGGAGATTGACTCTATGGCATTTGAATAATGTCACTGTGAACTTGAATCTTCTCTCTTTCTAATGTCCTAGGAAATATTGACGTTTGGCCTGTAGAGGTAGAACCTACAATAACATGCAGCACAGTTTCTGAAACTTCTCTATGCAGACATCTCTTTTCCTAGTCTAACGCAGTTTCATGTGCAGATAGACTTCTTGAGAAGCTCTCTATCCCGAACTGTGGTATTGTGGCTGTCGGGTTGAGTAAAGGCCATTTCACCACGAGCAGCTCCAAAGGTATTTCAGGAAGCTGAACTCTTTTACAAAGAGAACTGGTGTTTCTTCAGCTTTTATACCCTTTTGACTGTGTTGATAATGTTATTCTGAAATGTATTATTTGGGTTAAAAACATACTGGAGAAGTGGAGCTAGACTTTGGCATAAATATAATGTAACTGCAAAGCACTACTGCTTCTTCCTAGAACGTGCTAAGAAAAACAGCTGGGCTTTTTCTTAGGGTTTCATGCTATAATATCATTCTGAGTCCTCAAGAAATCAATGGTACACGGCTGAAATGTCATTTCAGGTTCACAGACCTTAGCGTTCCACTGAATGCACAGGCAACAAACAGTCCCGGGACTCCTGGCATCGAAGAAAAAATGTCCATAACAAAATACGGCATGAGCTGGGGTAGAAGGAGCACAAGAGCAACACAAGCAATTAGTTAAGGTTTTCCTGGGTAATGGAAGAGAATTAGCTGCTTCGGAGCACGTTGCTAAATTCTGGTTTTGTTCCAACTGAGGAGGGCTGTCAGATTTTGAGCAAAGGGGATGTCGTTTGGCAGAAGTGGTCAATCGGGTTAATGCTGCAGGAGTGCCAAATAGGTATACTCTAGCCCTGATCTGGCAACCACCTTAGTGCCTGAGCGCTGAAAGGACATAAAGCATCCCACAAAACTTAAACTGTCTCTGTAAGTGCTATGTCTGGGTCCAAAGCAGCTCCGAATTATAGTAATGGGTATCTGTACCTGATCGGGTGCTGAAATGAAATTGGCAGTCCAAGGATCACAACTCTTGTAATGAGAGTACATCACCAAACCACAAAATACCGCACACACCAGAACTGTCCAAAGTCCCAATAAATTCAGGTAAAGTGCCCTAGAACAAAGGAGAGAAACTGTTTAATACAAGATAACTAACTTGTAACAGCTTTTCTATTTTTATTTCTAATTTGGGGGGGAGACACCTTAATCAAAGCTAGCTATACAATTCAAAGCTAGCTGTATAATTTCTTAAAGGCATCACCAGGATAAGAAATTGTATGCAATAGTGGTTTTAAAAAAAAAAACAAAAAACACATGGAAAAAACACAGCCTCTGTATGCTAGAGGGCAAGGATAGAGGTTCTAGGTAACTCTGTACAGCTGGAAGAGACCTGTAACTTGGATGCAGAATGAGCTGCACCGAGCGCTGGGTCTGTCCCTCCTGTCCCCTGCAGGAGCAGGGTTCTGTCTGTTGGTTCTGTTGTTACTGATCGCCCTTTAAGCTACGCAGAGTATTATTTGGCATGGATTCTGTCGTGGCTGCAATGTTATTTTTCACTAGTCCATGAAATGGATGTGGGTGACAGCATCTGCTGGGGAGTGGTTCAGTAATCCCGGAGTTCCTGAGAGCTGCCGGGATTTATATACCCTACGTCATGTTTGGATGTCACCTTACGCAAGGTCTCTTGCTAAGGCCTGTTCAGAGCTGTGCTACTGAGACCCGAAAGTCTTTCAGAACTTGTTACTAGTGATGTTCTCGCTGTTGTGACTTCCAAATGTTTTTCAGAGACTGAATTTTCCACAGGATAAATTCATATAATCTGTCATGACCTTAAGAAAAATGAGTGTGATTATTTACTGATTTAATTTCATTTAAATAATACCTTGTACTATAGTGCCCAATTAAATCAATAACCGCTTTTAATACAATACAACATAAATACGATTCCAATAAATACATTTTCCAATAAAGCTGTAGATAGCACAACTTCTGTGTGGGCATCTTTTCCATGCTCTGCTTCTGAGGATAAGTTTGGCAGCCTGACCCCAAATTACTAAACTGCAAGAGATAGATAGCTACCTGTTTTTCTTTCTGCATTTATTTACGTCATTTAGGGCCAGAGGGAGTAAGACCAGCAGAGCAAAATTAGCTTACTACTACCCAATGGGATCCCGATATTTAACATAACTGACAAACTTAGTGTAATTCCATGTCAGTATGTTTGATTGCTAGAATAGGTTAATGACAGGTAACTTACAGTTTAGCATGTTTTTCCGATTTGCAAGAAATGCATCTCTGTATTGTGGACTGATTAACTCCATAGAGCCCTAGCCATGTAAATGTTCCCCCAATAACAATTGTCCAAAAGGTATGTCGTCTCAAAGGATCGACATCGAAGCTAGAAGAGAGAAAGAAGCAATTCAGTTCACTTATTTAAACACGCATTTATTTAGCAAGAGGTAGGTGATTTTTCAGAACTATCTCCTATGTCCTACCCTCTGCATCAGAAGCACTGCATTGGTAATACTGTTTTCCAGCACAGACAACTATTAATGTGTTTAGGTTTGGAAGGGTTTTTTTACTTTTATATTGGAACACATTAGTATCAAGTCAGGATAAACATATATTATGCAGAGTCAGTCAGAGGACCAATTAATTGAGATAAATCACATTTATAAGGCTGCTTATGCTCTGATTTCAGATCTGTGTCATATTGCAGCAACAGACCTGCAAGCCATCCTGCCTGGGACCCTGTCCTCTGCAAGGAACAAAGCCATTTACTAAACTCTAAAAATCCTCCAAGCTCTTAATTACATCATCATGACATGTTATTTCCTTTACAAGAAATTGCTTCAGGTGCAGTGGTATGTGGTTTTTTGTTTTTTTTTTTTTTACAATGAAATTTCATTACTCAGTAATTCTAACCAGTACAAGCACATCTTTCTGTCTTGCAATCTGTCATCTTTGCAATTCTGCTAATCTTGACAGGTATAGCAGATAACATTTGACCTTACTGCTAGATCTGTCAGTGACTTGCCTTGATCAATGAACTTTTCAGTCAATGCCACAAACAGCCAAAGGAAGGCCAGTTTGCTGTCCCAGTGCACTGGCGCACCATTGCTAGATGCCGTGGTGAGTGTACTTAAAATGAAGTCCCAGTTTTATGAACAGAAAAGGAAAGATAAACACAGTTGGAAGGAATAGTTGGGCTGAGTTTGTAACTACACCAAGAAAAATGGCAAAGCTCCCTTTCGGTTCAGCAGGGCTTTGATTTCTTCCAAGAGGGTGACAGAAAGAGGAGTTAAGCTCTTCTGAAGGTTAACTGCATTCCCAAGAGCTGAAGAAATAGGGAGCGGACTTCTCTGAGTCACCGAGGTTGTTCACTGGTAGTATAATAACAAGTCTGAGTGGTTTTGGCTTATTGAGGGTAGGGTTTTGTCCTGGTTTAGCTGGGATAGAGTTAATTTTCTTCAGCTAGTAGCTGGTATAGTCTTATGTTTTGGATTTAGGATGAGAAGAATGTTGGTAACACACTGATGGTTTCAGTTGTTGCTAAGTAGTGTTTATACCAAGTCAAGGATTTTTCAGCTTCTCATGCCCAGCCAGCAAGAAGGCTGGAGGGGCACAAGGAGTTGGGAGGGGACACAGCCAGGACAGCTGACCCAAACTGGTTAGCGGGGTATTCCATACCATGTGATGTCATGCCCAGTATATAAACTGGGGGGAGTTGGCTGGGAGGGATGGATTCCTGCTTGGAAGCTGACTGGGCGTCAGTCAGGGAGTGGTGAGCAATTGTATTGTGCATCAATTGGTTTGGATATTCCAATTCTTTTAATATTTTTATTATTGTCATATTATTATTATTATTTTCTTCCTTCCTGTCCTGTAAAACTGCCTTTATCTCAACCTACGAGTTTTACTTTTTTTCTCCCCAACTCTCTCCCGCATCCCACTGGGTGGGGGGGCAGTGAGTGAGCGGCTGCACGGTGCTTAGTTGCCAGCTGGGGTTAAACCACGATAGATTTCTAAAAGTTAAATATACAAAAAGAAAAGGTTTGCACCATTTGTTTCTTACTCAAATATGTTTAGTCGTGATCCTTCATAGGCAACTTCCCAGACCTTGGTCGATCCACCGTTCAGAGTAGTTCCTCGAATCAAAACCGTCACGAAGCCAACCACCATGACAATCATTTGAAATGCATCTGTCCAGACAACAGCTTTTAATCCTCCCTAAAACAAACAGAAACTGCGTGCTCTCATCTTCTTTCCTCTTGTTCAAGTACAGCAAAAGGTAGAAAGACCCCTCATTTTGGGAGCTCATGAGCTGTATGTATAGCATCTAGCAAATCAGGACTTTGCTTTGTATTCTCCCATGGAGGTTGTATTTTTGCAGGTCAGAAAATGACACAGCCTAAATGGTTTGTCCACAGTCATATGAGAATATTTGACCTCCGGTTAAATGCTTTTTTTTCTGCCTCCTTTATATGCATTTGAAGGATATATCACGGTGTGGAACAAAAGCTTAGGGAATACAAGCTGGCCTGTTTGTACTTCCCATAGCACTCTGTACAGTTCTCAGAGCCACAGTGTCCACAATTAGCCTAACGCAGAAAATTAGCTCCAGAAAGTCTGCACTTCGGCTTTCTCCATAGCTACTTTTATATTTGATCAAATCTGTACTAGAGCAACATAATAAGTGTTTTCAACGAGGGTGGACTGAAATATTGAAAAAAAATTCATTAGTGGTAATGAGAACAGAAATTAGGTTGTGTCCTGAGCCCCAGGGCTCCGCCGGTTCCACTGCGATGTTCAGCTTTTTTGTAATCCGAGGTCTCGTGATGCTTCCACTCAGAAGCAGAGCTCTCTCTGACCTGTTGATTGTCCTTCCTAGCTTTTATCACTCTGTTCTTGATCTGGGGTGACACCAGAGGCACACTTTTCATTACAATGTTTTTTCAGCCTGTAACTTGTAAAAAGATAAGAAGAATAGTCTTTTCAAAAGATTTAGTATGGCAGGGGAAGGTTATCGCCTCTTTATCTGGACACTGCCTCAAGCTGTCTGGTTTAAACCTTGAAACGTACAGCAGAGGATTTGAGAGGAAATATTTTTTTATCCAAATAGACTTAGTTATACCACAGAGTCTAAAAGAAATTTATCTCTATGTTCTCCTACTTTAAACTTCAGTCACTCGGACTGCATTTAGAAGCCGCCCTTCTGCAATAGCCTGTCATGTATAAAGGATGGTTGAATTAACAATCTGTGTTCCAGCTGTTGGGTTATGCCTGTTACGTACCAGAGTGCAATAGAAAGTGCAGACAATTCCTGTTGCAACTACAGAGCCCCAGAGATCAAATCCAGTGACTGTGAAACCAAAGAAAACCAAATGGTTAGCAAAATGGAGGTAGGTCATCTGGATGGTAACAGAAAAGCTATGATCCTTTAGCCTTAGAAGGATGGGAGTAACTATTAAAATTAATCTTTTGTGTCTGTTAGACACTTTGCTGGATTGTTCAGGTTTCCTAACACTACTAGATACCATTTTGCGTGTCTGCTTTCTTGCAAATTGTATTTAACTAACTTTGAATGATGTGCCTAAGTAATACGTAAGAAGTGTAATTGCACAAAACAAAAACGTCATTCCTATGGGACACGGCTTTATAAGCAATGCTTTCCTTCTGTTCTTAGCCCAGAATTTTCTCTTGAGAAATCAAGTTCTTCAGAGATTTCCAAAGAATCTGAAGAAAAAAAACCAGCCCCAAACTAAATTCCATTCCCTGCAACTAGGAACAGTTTAACGCTAAAATGTGCTGCACTAAAACAATTTTTCATGTTCATTTTAATTCTTAAAGTTACTTTACACAAGATGTACAAATTTTGGTTTGGCTTATATGGAAGTTTCTCCCACCGGCCATAGACTGTGAAGGCAAATCTATTTGTAAAGGTTCTTTTATTAGCAAAGTTACTATGGCCCAATAACGAACGTGAACTGTCACATAAAATTCAGTTGAGCTCCAGAGGAAGGAAGCTCAGCACTGTGCCAGAGGTGGGATTGGGCAAACTGGATGCAACTCAGATGACAAACAAGGAAAAGAGCCTCCCACTCTCTCCCTATCGATTTTGGTGAAATGAGGAGTTAGGCCATGCCTATTCCTTATGCCCTGTGGCAGTAAAATTACTAGTCCCATCTATCATGCTGGATGCTGTACGCCTGATTTGCAAAGATTAATTAAAGAAGCATGTGGACAGACAGCAGCACAGCATTCAGCTCCAGCTGAGTGGAGTTATGCCCATGGGAACCTGAACACGGGAGACGGGGAAGGGGGGAATCAAAGTCCAGAGTACGGTCTTGGATCGTCAGCTTGTACTGTGAACTTTGTCAGGACATTGAGAAATTGCTCGTTGCTAACCTCTTCAGGTGGTTACTGAGTGCAAAGGAGAGCAGAACGGCAAACGCCAGGCTCCTGCTAATGTACTGGAGTGAGAGAGATCTGGGGAGGCAAAAATGCAGAGCTACGAGGTGCAGGCAAAAATCTTCTTACAGAACTTTTGAGGAATTTTTTTTTTTTTTAGATGACTTCATCCATTTTCCTCACGTTATTTATTCTGACAGTCTTGTGGTGTGATTATTTGGGGTAGCCATGTACTGCGGCATGGGAACTCACCTTGGTTGAGTGCCAGTGATGGAGCATAAACCACTATTCCTGTGTAAAGGATCTGAAGGAGAAAAAGTTCATGAAAAAAACATGTATGTGAATGCTCAGTGATAAGGCTTCTATTTAGAGTGGGGCTCAGAGCAAAATACCAGATCTAGGGGTTCCTTTAGATCAGCTTGCATTGTGTATGGCTTTTCTGTTTCAGCCTTTACAAAATAAAAAATCTTTACTTTAATTCTTTTCTGCTGGAAGGACCATTGGCTGTCTCGGTATTGCTTATTTCACCCATTGCTAAGATGAGTAGATGACAAAAATATCCTAGTCAAATGGAAAGAGGAGCTCTTGGGAAAACATGAACCGTGATGCAGAGATAACGGGTTAATCTTGGAAATTCAACTTCCCTTGTTCCATTCAATCCTTTTCAAAGTAGCTGACTCTGTGCCCTTCACGTGTATGTTCTGACAGAACGGAGGGAGAAACAAAGCCTGGAAGCCAATACGCATTCAAATCTACTGCTAAAGGTTTTGGAATTAATAAAATGGAATTAATGTAGGAAGAAATGTCTGCCAATGTCCCAAGACTTTCCATCAAATACATCACTAATGTAGCCTTTTGAGAATCTTGGTGAAGCTTTAAATCAAAGGGCAAAACTATTTGATGTCTACAATAATGCTTTGGGTGGCTCTTTAAGTTTGGTTTCTTTTGGTAAAGTAAATAGGTAAAGTTAAGTAGTAGTAAAGTGGTGTTTTGGGGGGTAAGTAAAGCTAGCGTCTGCTCAATCTCTCCATCCGAGAGGCAGGAGCATTATTTATGCTGTACACCCAGGGCTGTGGACTGGCCGGTCAGGGCGTTATGGTAACGCAGAGCAGTACACAGGTGTGGGGTCTGCACACCCCAGGCAGCGGTTTCTGCCCCGTGGGCTGGGGGGCTTAGTCCCTGGGAGCCGGCGCTGGGAGCAGCCCTTGCCACATACAGCTGCTTTGCGATGGGATAGCCTCACCCCGGTGTCGTAAATGGGTGACTGGTGAACTAAACGTACCCAGTACAGCTCATCTAGCTTCTCAAGAAAGACAGAATCCGCTCATTTGGAAAGAGAGAGGCTTCAAGGGAACCTAAGGAGACCAAGAATCTGAGAAGCATTTGTAATCCTAAACAGGAGCAAGCTAGAAAGTTAGGAAAGCAACCATTCTTTCTTTTTAACATTCACAGTCCAAGTGAAAAAATTAAGAAAAAGAGTACTCGTTAAAACATCTCATTATAAAAAAAGCACAGTCTGAGACTAGTCCATCAAAATAAATGTTGAGTGAAATCAGCATAAACAAAGAGTCAGTGTCTTCCTACCGTCTGCAGGATGTAGATCAATGTTGCGGCAAGACGGACAATCTTGTTAAATCTTAACTCCAAATACTAGGAAAAAGAGGAATCTCAGTAAATTGCACATGTAGCATCTGTGACACAGCTATTAACCTTCTGTTCGCCCTGAGTAACAGCTTGCTATGCAAGTAAAATTACTGGCAGCCGGCACTGCTGCTATGAGTAATGAGCAGGAAAGCATGTTTGTTATTACACATAGCAATAATTACATTTAAGAAATATTCCTATCGGTAGCATGTACTTGAAGTTATGTGTTGGGTTGCAGTGATCAGTATCGGCTTTGTATTGGGAATAACTGGAAGAGCCCAAGGGCTACAAGGAAAAGAAATTTAAACTTCAAATGAAAGTATATTCCAACTATATGAAGAGGAAACTAGAGGTCAGCTCTAGGAGAAAGAGCATAGTTTAACTCCTGGAGTGACAAAAGTGGTGGTAGAGCAGGTGGAGAAACAGCAACACATTGTTTCACAGTGCTTGAGCTAAGCGGCCTTTCTCACCGGCTCTGTCTCAGCCTAGAGCCAAATCTGCACATCAGCATTAACGTGGAGAGGCGAGTGGGGTTCTTGGGGACTTCAGGTGGATGGAGAGAGGTGTTCCCAATTACCACACAACTGCAGAGGTGAGTAGATCTCTAGCCCCAAAAGCCCGGATTTTAAGCCTGAGTCTCTCTGTAGAGTTGACCCAAAAAATTAAATCTGCATTGCTAACTCCATGGCTGGCTTTCTCCTTGGGCCGTGGTCCCGTGCGCTCCCCAGCAGACACCAGACACAGGCTGTGCTAGTCTTCTCTCTTTCACAAGTCTCTAGGAGTAGTACTTCCAAAGCAGCTGCTTTCTTATTAATTTTGTTCATGTTCCTCTTTCTTGTGTCTCTTGCATAATAAGCCCTGCAGTCTGCCATGCGAATAAATAGCTAATTTATGTAACTTGACTTGTTTCTAAAAATTCATGAAGTCAGCAGAGTCATCTTTCCAGCAAGCTTGAAGGGACTCTCTGGCTACAATGACACTTTTGGTGGTTTAGATGAGAGAAGTAATTCATTCTCTGACCTTGCATCAAAACCAGCTAGAAAATGCAGTTACGTGTGGCAGTGGGAATCGATGGTCAATTTTACTTTTTTCCAACCTGTAACTGAAATATTTCCAAATACCGAGGCAGAGCTGTTTGACCAAAGCCCCTCCTTGGGTTTGGTCTTATAGAACGTGAGCAGCCTTTCTGTTATCACGAAGCTCCTTGTGAACTAAAGCAGCTTTCTTCATCCAATTCTTGCTTAGTTGAAACTGCCCACAAACAGGAGCAACCAAATTTGTGGTGGTTGATTAAAGTGACCGAAAGGCTATTCCCAAATGCTCAATAACTGCCCTATGGGCATGCAGATGATAAGGGCTGCACGCTGTGCTCCGAGCAATAACATCATGAGGACTACTGATTATTCTTTTTTTTTTTTTTTTTTTTAACTACTGAACTGTCATATGAAGAAAATAATGTGTTCCAGGAGGAATGCCAGGCAAAAACCTCCAGAAAATTCAGAGGTTGTTCATTTCATTTCCTAGAGAATGCCTGAATTCATTCTCCAGCCCTGACTTCTTTTTTTTGAGAGAGAGACCTGCCATCTTCTTCCACTTTATCCCTTCCTCCCACCTCAGATAGATTTTAGATATCAAATAGTCCACTTTTATAATCAATTGGACCAAATTGCCAGATCTACACCAAGTTTGAATGGGATACTGTTGAATTTTGTTCTTAAAGTCTGTCTTTAATACCTGCTCTCTAAACCAGAGTGGAATAGTTACTTGTAAGATCAGAAGCATTTGGATGTGCTTTAAATATTTTCCAGCTGTAACTTATTTTGGTGCTGTTGTGTAAACCTGTATCCTGTCTTTGCCATATATGCATAACAGGTGCTCTGACCCTTAATTTGTGGTTTTAACTCACACAATATAAGTAACAAGTTCGAATAATGCAACCCGTTTCTAAAAATAATTAAGGTATCAGACTTGTTCTGTAAAACACTGCAGAAAGTCTTCTGTCAGAGATTTTTCTCTAAAAATATCTATATGCATGATACTGACTTTTATGTTAGAATAGTGCAATAATTTTTACTTACCTCATAAGTGCTTGTAATGCCAGATCTGTAAAATACAGGTAGAAAAAGTTCAGCAGTAAAAATGATGACAAGCGCATACGAAAGAAAGAATAGCACGAAGGATGCCCCATAGCGATAAACTTCGGAGGGTGTCCCCAGAACTGTTACTGCTGACATGAAACTTGCTGTGAGAGAAAAAGCGATTGGTCCACATGTCATCTGCTTACCACCCACCAAAAATTCCTTTGAAGTTTTCTTTTTCCTCTCTTTAACAGCAAAAAAGACTCCAATGCTAGCACATACTAAAAATAGTGCTGCAAAAACAACATAGTCCCAAGCCACAAATTTTTTGACTTCTGGAGCTACAAAGTTTGACATAGCACCAGTTGAACAATTCTCTGATGGAGGATTCTGGTTTTCTGTAGCTGTTGCTCCGAACCAGTTAGCTCAGTCGACAGCAAAGTTGAAGCTTATCTGTAGCTCATTGATGACAAATAATACACAGAAAGACTATTCAGCTAGGAGACTTTTTTTTTCTTTTTTTTTAATCCAGTTCACTTCTAAGGAGGAAAAAAAAAATAGCTAAGGATGAGTTAGGAAGGTGCTGAATGCACTTAGACCCTAGTGCTACTGATGCTTCTGTCGGGCAGGCTGGAGCAGGGGACTTAGCTGTGAGATCTGTAGTACACTCCCTTTTTATCTGGGAGGTTTTGATTTAAGGTTAAACATTAGCCTGACACATTGACTTGATCTGACTCTTTTCTAACCTCTCAGCATTTTTAAATAATAAAATGAAAGCAATAAAGAAATAAATAAAGGAGAGTGAAATGAAGGGAAGCTCAGCGTATGGACCTACGACCTCACCGGTGAGTTTGTTTTCAAAGGAGCAATTCCCTCATATGCTTAAAATCTAAACTTGAACATCAGCGATAGGGTTCAGAATTCTCCTTTGACGGTCTAAGTGTGCTCATTGGTAAACCCTCTGGAAGTTAAGGCTGCCTTAAAGAACTGGAGCCTTTACTGGCTAAAAGTAGCTGCGGTGCTTCCCCGCCCCCGCCGTAGCCCAGCCCTGGTGTGTTTGGGAACCCCGGGGATCTCCGCGTGAGCAGAAGTGCAGGTCGTGCTACACTTTTTGAGGATGACGTTCAGTTAGAAACTGATTTTTCACTGACCACTGACAGCAATTTTCCTTATAGCTTATATGGGTTCGTGTGAGAGGTGGCTGATTTTATTTGTCCATGTACAACTTGGTTGGACAAGAGGGCCAAAATGAAGCAGATTAGACAACATCAACTGTTTTCTTAACTATGTCTTTGATATAATTTGTTGAATTTAATTAATTAGGTTTTCCTTGTGTTGTGTTTGTGTTGTTTTTTTTTTTTTAAATAATTGAGTTTTCATTTTATCTCTATGCCATGACAATATGTTTTCCAAAGAAGCAGGCAATGACTCGTCATCCCAAAGGATTAACTTGTACAAAGAGGTAGTGTGTGTAAGTCATACCCTCCACCCTTCCTTCAAGGGCTGAGTTTTGGAGACCATCAAGAAAGAGATGCGGTGACCTGGGGTGGCCTTTAACAGCAAAAGTCCTTCTCTTCAGCCTTGTCTTGGCTGGGGATGGATCCCTGCTTTTTCTTCTTAAGTCATCAGTAAACAGATGTACCTTGCAAATTAGTGGGTGTCCAGTTGTACCTTGCAAATTAGTGGGTGTCCAGACCTGAAGCCCTGTCTTTTCCCATCTGTCTGCTGAGGAGAAAGAGGAGTGCATGTACGGCAACCGTCCTTGCGTAGCGCAGAGTCAAAGAAAGTCCAGGACAGCCTATGGCTGGAACCGACGTCTTCTGCCCACATCTGTGGTAGAGATTGTGCAATTTTTGTGGTTGATTTCAGTGAGACCGAGTGTAAAAGGGGGAGTTGAAGGGCCTACTTCTGCTGCAGAATGTGAATTAAAAAAATCAATCAATCAAACAAACCCCCAAAATATGCAAAGATACTTCTTAAAAGGCACTGCTTCATTCATAACTGAAATACTTTTAGTCCCCAGAAGGTGAAAAAGTGTGAAGTGCATGTTTGTGAGGTATGATCCAGCCCCCTGCGATAGCCGGGCTATCAATTAAAGCTGCCGTGGCACATTTTGTGCGCTGTAACCTGCGGGTTGTGCCATGGAGGGACCAGATGAGAGAGCAATAAACCATTCTGCATTACTGTGGATAAATCAAAGTGAGACAGTATAGGCAATTCTCTCTAAATTCTCATACAACCGCCTCATAGTAATTTGTTTATCTAAGTCTAGCCTCATTGCTAGTTAATATTTCTCTTTTGTACAGAACAAATGTCTTAAGGTGCGTCCACTCTCAAAAAAGCAGCGACTTTCACTTGCCAGGCATTCATCTGCTTTTGGGGCAGGGGGAGGTTGTCCCCCCCTTTTTTTTTTTCCTTCTTTTTTTCTTTTTCTTCTCTCTCCTTATAACTGTTAGAACATGGATGTTTTCTGCAGGTTTTAATTTATACCTACAGAGTCTGATTAATAAATGTCTCGGGCAATGGTAAAAGCCATGCCATTACAATGGTGAGGTTCTAGGGTCAACCATCAACCCAGGCTGGCAGGAGGCTAATTTAATGGGGTGTGAATGCAGCACGTAGGGCTAACCAGGCAAACCACGTGCATGCTGCTTCCCACAAACCACAGGTGATCACTGGCTCAGTCACGGTGACACCAAGCGAATTCACAAAAATCTGCAAAGAAACAAACTTGAGGGTATTTCTTCTTAAACTTGAGCCACTGAACTGCACCATGTAAGTAAGACTGCATCAGTCTTACTCACGTTGCTGAGAGGGTGGAGAACTGTTTGTGGGGCCTGGAATAAAAATTAAAAATAAAAAAAAAAATCAAGATTATCTGGGTCAGAAGGTTTCTGTACCAGCCATGTTACCAGAGGAAGTCTAAGGGGAAGATCCCTGTAACATCCATTCTAGGAAAATAAGTGTAGTGTAATATATTATTACAGGCTCGAACACATTTTTTAAATGGTCTGTTTGCCATCAGCAAACACTGCTAACTAGCAGCTGGGCTAACTGTGCTGTCACACAGCGATGAATAAAGCTGCTTGTCGGCTCACATGGGCCTGGTGCATAGCAATTTGGGTTGGATTCCAGGAAGCTTTTCCAAACAGCAAAACTCCTGTTGGCGTAAATGTAAGCCTGTGGTGATTTTTTTTAAATTATTACTATTATTATTTTTGAAATTATGAATGATCTTTCTAGCAGAAAAGTACTTTTGGATGATAGTAATTTACACAGAAAGTAGAAAAAAGTTAGTGGAATAATAAACTGGAAATCAAGTTAGAAAAGTAAATTTGTATATTTATCATGCTATAGCCCTCTGATATGTTTTAAGCATAGCTTCATGGTGTTGTTCAGAATAGCCATTTTAGCTAAATCTCTCTCACATAGAAAAAGAAATAATATACTTTAGAAATACAATTTCTGAAGAAGAAATATTATTTTAAAATAGTATGAAACCATTTGTTATTCTGTTGTGATGACATTCCTTATCTGGGAATAATTGAAATTTTTATTTCCCTGAAATAATGAAAGTAGTTTAATATTTTACTTGTGAAAACTCCTGTGAAATAAAGTTTTAGCCAGGGTAACCAAAGGAAGAAACTTGATTTCTTGAAGCTTCAAAACCCCTTTCAGTATCTGACTGGGAACCGAGAATCCGACAAGAGATCCAACGTGAGTGTTTGGAGAGATGGGGGGAGTTCGAACGGATGCGTATCTGTCACTTGCATCTTTGAGATTAGGAATTTGGTAGGGGAAGTGGACTCCTGGCATAAAGTGTGGTGGGATGATCCCCTCTTTGAGCAGCCTCTCCCACTTACTTGCTGGTATTAGGGAAAGCCATGACAAAACTTTTCTACAGGTACCTAGGACCAAACACAAACAGCAAAATGTGAATTGCCCCCCAGGATATTGTCCTGAAGTGACTTTCCCTCTGCCATAGAGAATTTGCTCACAAGAAAGAACGCAACTTTATTCCTTACACCTATAAAGGGAAGGCAGAGAACTATATCCTGAGTTTCTGCTGTCTGGTTCTCCCTTATGACGGAGAAATTCAGGGTCCCGCAGATAAATTCTTTTTCTTGTATGATAATCTTGCATGTAGCATTGAAGAGTCTCAGTCTGGAGGTACACCAGCTTCTTTCTGAGCAGGAAAAGTTACGGCACGGTGACACACAGCGAGTGCTAAAAGGCTTCGTGCCGAGGGCACAGCTCTGCTGGGGCTGCAGGCACCCACTGCTGAAAGCAAACACCACCCTCTGCCCCGTCCAGCAGATAATTCAATAGGCAATTGAGGATATCTAAGAATTCCTTCCCATACGGTACCAGTCAACTTGTGTCTATTTATTACTGATAATGGAAAAACGGGAAGTCTTTTGTGTAAAGTAACAGTGAGGGAGGGGGCTGGGGAAGATGCTTTGCTTATATCCCAAAGACTGAGAGTATTAATAATTGAGAAACTGAAATGCGAGCTCACAAAAGCAACCATGTATCTGAAGAGAACGGGCAGGGAGCTTTTTAACGTTCTCTTTTTCAAACGCGTATATGAACTACTGAATTTGACAAATGCTTTTTACGTATTTTGTATCTTTTTATACTAAATGATATGTACAGTGCAATTCATGATCAAGTCGGCGTCTTCCAGTATGTACACAAGCTGGCGCACACGCACAATCTGCTACTCTAGTATTTGGAGTATATTTCTTGGTGGTGTTATGAGTCTTTGGTATGATTCTTATTTCTATAGCAGCTCCAAAATTTCTGCTTTTCACAATCAAATATTGGTAGCTGTGCTTGCATATTGCACTATTTTGGAAGTAATAATTTTTTATTCTAACTGTACCTTTTTTATTGATATGAGAGCTTTCCCTTTGGAGTAAAATCCAGTTTCAGATAACAGAAGTCATGCCCTTCTGAGACCAGGCTAGCATAATGTAGTCTGATGCTTGGACCATGAATATTTTCACTGGCTTCAGCTCAATTAGTCTGCTGAATATTTTTGTCATGAGTGACAGATCCAAGACCCGACCCTTGATCACAGACTGATCATTAGTACCAACAAGAGGTAAAAATGAGTTTTGATTTCCTAAACGGCTTAAAAAAATTGTAGCTTCTGCACTTCGGTGCTTGAGTTTAATATTTGAGTCTGAGATTTGTCCGTTATTATAAATGTAAGAGTCATTCTGGAAGATAATATCAAATCACACGTAAAATGGGATATTGATTTGTTGGTGTTGTTCCAAATGCTTAGATCTAGACATGTAAAATACACCTGATTGAAGTTTCAAAATTAAGGTCTTCTCGTGGGTGCATTC